TATGTGTGTGTGTGTGTGTGTGTGTGTGTGTGTGTGTGTGTGTGTGTGTGTGTGTGTGTGTGTGTGTATGTGTGATCTAGACAAAATGAAGTTTCTGGAAGAGACTGAATATTTTTAAGTATTTTGCTTTTTTTGCACTTGTAAAGTTATTTGGTTTTATTGTTCACGGGAGCTTTTCTTAGCTTGGAAGGATGATTGTGACATTAGGTGAGGTAGGGTGGAAAATTTTATATTGAGTGGTAAGTCAGCATCTGTTAAATCAACTATAATATTTTCAGATTACAGTTACCTAGGATGTTTAAGGTTAGTGGAAAAAGGTTTCCAAGAATTTCCTTTTCTTGTCTTATAGTTGCATTTGACAGCTTCCTAAATCACCTTCCAGTGGGCTTGCCCGGGCAGCTGTAAGTGGAGATGAGAGAGCCCTTGACATCTTCAGTTCCTGGAGGCCAAGGACTGGACACAAGCGCCTTGGGCTGGGAAGCAATGCCAAGGAGAATCTCAATTTCTTTCTCGGGTCGTCCACAGGTTTGTTGTTTTGTGTGATATGGTTTGCTTGTACTTTTGTTTTGATTTTTTAGGTTTACTTAACTGATAGAAGACAATTTGTCGGTTTGTAAATTGAACTGAACATTCAATGGTTAGTATTCTCTTGATAGTTAAAGCAGTGAGAAAGGTATTTAGTAGTATGGCAGCTAAAGTGGGAATCATTGTCAGTATGATTATTATTACTGTTATTGTCTTTTTCATTATTACACAATATTCCAAATTGTCATCATGGTGGCCATAATTAATTTATCATTTTTAAAAAATTGTAATCAAATAAATTACATGGAATTATTCCTGCCTTTTATTGCTGAACAGGTGTACTATACCATGTCAGTGACAGTGGGAACTGTGTGGAGGTTCTACAGGCAGATGGTGGCATTAAGCGACTCCTGCACCATGAGTCGCGTAATTTGCTTGTGGTTATTACTGAAGGCATGGTTCTTGGGCAGTTTTCTGTGGCTATTGATGGAGCAGTTACTGAAATCAACAAGGTAAAGGAGCATTGGTGTTCAGTATGATTTTCTTCTAGTAGTATACAGTAGTGCAATTTTTAGATCTTATCATTTTGAAATTCAAATAATTTTTATACAAGTTACAGTTATTAAGGCATTTTTATTTAGATGTTTTGCTTTAACCTTATTCACTTTTACATTATTATTACTATTTCTTTTTCAGGTAAAACTGAGTGGCAGGACAAATGATATTCAGGTGACATGGGCTGGAACAGGACTGCTGGCTGTATCAACTGGTGACAACAATGTGCGCCTGTGGAACCTCGACTCAGGAGATAATTATGTACTGAGTTTGCATGGTTTTAGTTATCGGGATCAAGAATACATGATGTGCCTCAGTTATTCCGAAAACAAAAGTGAGTTTTTTTTTTAAGATATTATGATTTTTGAATTGAGTGATAGATAGGTACTTAGATCCGTAAAGGTGGTTTCGTAGACACATTTTGAAAGTTAATGTTCATGGGATACAGATAGAGGATGATTGAGGTTTTGTTTTTTTGCATCTGACTCATTTTGTGTTTCAGAAATATTATGTGGAGGCACAAATATGGGAAGTGTGGCCATGTGGAAGTATGAGGAACAAAAGCTGAACAATAATGAGTACTCTCGAGACCCTGAGAAGGACTGGAAACTGCAGAGCCCTTCCATCCTATCTGGAGCAGTCAAAAGGGTATACATGCAGGCTTTTTTGCATAGTTCTGTTTGATTAGTTATAAATTGTAAAATAGGTTGTGATTGTATGATACCATATTTGTTTAAAGATGCCTATTTTTATTGTGATATACAATAGAGAAAAGGATTTAAAAAAGATATTCTATACATATTATAGAAATTCTTCTTTATAACTTTGTTTACATGTTTGTGTTCATTGATTTTAGTGTATATTCATAAAGGATATACATATTCTACCCTATATCTCCCAGTATCTCCTGATATTAGGTTTAGTAGACTATAGAAAAATGCCCCTTCTTGTATTATGTTTTTCTGTATGTATCAATATATATGTAATTTTTTTTTCCAGGTTTCATGGGGCTCGGCCCAGAATTTACTGGCTGTTGATACCGTCCGAGATGTGTACATACTCAATGAGCAGAACATGGTAGCAAGTTACCGAGATCAGGCAAGTCAAGGCAGTAATCATTGTAAGAAATGAGTGATCTTGAGTTGATTACAAATCAGATTTAATAATGGTTGTTATATCATGTTCATTCTTAATTCAATCTTTAATAATAATTTTTTTCTGCAATTACTCTCCAGGTGTGTGTTGTTCAGGAATCACCAACCCAGTTGTCAGTTGATGTCTTCTCAGCAGACAACCATTTGGAATTCCGTGCAGACATACAAGTCAGAGGTGTTCACAACACAGTGGATCACCTCTTGATATGGAATATGAAGAAAATGGTTATATATGAAATTACATCAGATGCTACACACCTGAGAGTTGTAGGTTAGTATTCATAGAAGCAAAAATACCATACTGTGAAGTGCATGATTTTTTTTCCTTGTTTTTTAAATATTTACCAGGTAGTTTGCCAGTGTAAGCAAATATTGAAATTAATGATAAATAAAATGATTGTGGTAATTATAGTAATGATCATAATAATGATAATGATCATAATGATAATGATAATGATCATAATAATGATAATGATAATAATGATAATGATAGTAAAGATAATGATGATAATAATAATAATGATATTGATAGTAAAGATGATGGTTATGTTAATAATAATGATTGCATTATGATAATAATAATAATAATGATGATAATGATAATAACAATGATAATATAATGATCATCATAATGATAATGATAATGAAGATTATAATGATAGTAAAGATTAATGATGGATAATAATAATAATGATATTGATAGTAAAGATGATGGTTATGTTAATAATAATGATTGCATTATGATAATAATAATAATAATGATAATAATTATTATAGTACTGATAGTAATAATAGTAGGGCAACTTTAGCATATTAATTGTATGACTTTTCTCATAATTTTGTTTTTTATTACAGGTTCTTTTGCATGTGAAGCAGAGAGTGCTGTGTTACATGAAGCCAGCATATATTCCATAGAGGGTTCGAATGTTCAAGTAAGATCAATGCAGGGAACAATAAAGCAGACACTAAATTTCTCAGAGAGTGAAGGGGAACCGATTGGCCTTGATGTTTGTGGCAATTTTCTTGTGGTAGCCACAATCCAAGGGATTATTAAGCTATGGGACTTGTCTAGAAGGTAAAAATTAGTACTAGTATGATTTATGTAGTGTGTCTCTATTCTTAACTTAGTGCTAACCCCCTAGCAGAGCCTGCCAGCAAATCATATGCTATCATAAGAGAGATTTTGTAATGTGTCTCCCCAGCCAGCATTTCCTACTTGAGTGAGAACTTTAAAAGGCTCAGGCACTTTAACAGTGTGAAAGCTGCATAGCAGGATTAGACATCACATCATGCTAAAGTATCTTAAGGATCATGAGTGTTAACTGTGAGTTCTTCTAAGGTGCACAAGAAACCTATTTCCTCTTTGGTGTGGTGCCAGATGGTAATGCTGTTACTATGTTTTCACACACACAAAAGGAAAATGCTAGCTGGCAGAGAAATAGAAGTGGAATTTCTTGTGTGTAGATGATTTGGTGGCTGGCAAGCAAGGGTAGGCATTAGTGGGGAGGCATCTTCCTAAATGCCTCCTTACAGTTGTTTTCCAGAAGCACAAATATAAGAAAATAAGACATTTTGTTGTGAATATTTTCTTTTACTTAAATTTTGATGATTTTCCATCAAATGAGTTTGGACATTATCTTGTTTAATCTTGAATGTTGCTCTCAGGGAGGCAAAACAACACACACAAGGCAAACAGTTGAGTGACGCCATCAAGGACTTTGGGGAAGTTATCTCAGCAAGATGTAACTGTAGTGGTACAAGAGTCTCTATTGCTGTAGCTCAAACCTCCTTGCTTCCTGATCCAAAATTATATATCTGGGATATAGAGAATGACAATATCACGTACTTCAATTTTGCATCTGGACGATCTGAAGACGACGATAATGATGGGACAGCACCTCCAAACTCTGCAGAGAGTTCAAGTTCTAAGTATGGTGGAGGTCAAGAAAGGTAAGACATTGACAAAGTAAGAAAGAATGAAGTGAAAGAAAAATATGTATTTATTTATATGTAGATATATCATGTACATTGATCATGTATAATGCAGAGCCAAGCGTGAGACAGCCAGAGAAGTTGGGGGTCGCTTTGTGATGTCTCACATGTGGGACCTGGAAGATCCCCGGCTCCTTGTGTGTGAAGCCAAGTCCCTTCATAGCAAGAAAAAGCAAAGAGAGAATTACATTGCTTCAGATAAGGAAGAACGGGTTAGTGCCATCGGAAATCAGTTGTATCAGGGTCATTGCCATTCAAGTTATACATTACTGCTTCTACTACTGAGATTAAGAACTGATTTTCATATCTATTAAAGAAAGAAATTATAAACTCTTACATTTTTTTTTTTTCAAGAATATAAGTTATTTATTTAAAATCTCTCTCTCTACAGCCTGCAATCATGTTGGTATCTCTGTTTGTTAGTCCTGACCATGGGGCTATTGTTCAAGATGCCTTCCCTCTCACTCCAACTTACTCTAGACTTCTTGGTGTGCAAGTGCCATTCTTATATCTGCTGAATGATAGTGTTGTTGACAAAAAGGTACGGTAGTAATGCTTTGCCATTTTTTAAATTTTTCTTCTTTTAAGCAGTCCTGTGAAGATGTAGAATATAACTTTTCAGAAGAATTATTGGAAATGTTGGCAAAGATGCATTTTTCATAGAAGTTAAAAGTTTTTAAATAGTGTTATAGGCTTGTATTAGAAATTTAGTTGAGGTCTTCATTTTCATAATTTCCTTTTTTATGGGGATCATGTTTTTCATAGATTAACATTCTTTATTAATATGTAGCAGTTGCTTCAACCTCACCTCCTTCATCTTTCAGTCTGACACCAAAGCCAAATTAGTTACGCAAAAGGTAATGCGGGACTTTGTAGGCCTGGAGAGCTGTGATAAACCAACAAAGGAAGCGATGCTTAACTTCTCCTTCTATCTCTCAATGGGAAATATGGATGATGCATTTAAAGCTATCAAAACAATCAAAAGGTTGGTTGACACTGAAGCATAAGTATTCTGGATGTTGCCCAATATTGATTTCACTCTTTTTTAACGTCTGAATTTCAAAAGCTTAGTTGGATTATGAATTTTAGTTCTCATATTTCATTATTAGCATGTAAATTAATTTGGAAAGAATATTAAACAAAACATTTTTTTCTAATCTAAAACCAGTGAAACTGTATGGGAAAACATGGCTAGAATGTGCGTTAAAACGAAGCGCTTAGATGTTGCTGCTTTGTGTCTTGGCAACATGGGTCATGCTCGTGGTGCTAGAGCTCTTAGGCAAGCCATGAAGGAACCTCAGCTTGATGCAAGAGTGGCTATGCTGGCACTACAGCTGAATATGGTGGTGAGTAGTCTATTGTTTCTTTACTTATGGTGTCATTGCATAAACTCGAGTTTCCCATGCCAGATTGGTCCTGGTCATTAACCCATTGCTACTGGGTAGACTGCAGCTTTCTCTTCTGATTTTTATTTACATGTAGGTGGCTCCACAAGATTTAGTCAATAAAGAGCCTATTAGTAGGTGTATGAATCTTCATGGGATATCCACTTCCCTTGAGTTTTTTGACAAAAATGTTTTATTCTGATGCTGATATTAATGTTGCAATTATTGGTATTGACAATCTGATTATTATAATATTGATATTACTGATTGCAATAAAACATTAAACAAGTGAGATAGGTAGGATTAATTATGGTCTCTTTGTCAAGCCATATACATATAAAGACACTCAATAAAAAAAAAACACACAAAAAAAAAACACAGTGGACTTGGTATGTACTCTTGTCTTCCCAGCATGGGTTAAGGCAGGGTACTGGCTTGGATGGGTTTTTGGTGAAGGAAGATCCCTTTATATTTACAACTTCAGTCTCCTCCCTTAATAGGCCAGCAACACCCTCTAGGTTTGTCGTGAACTTAATTATTTTTTTTATTATTATTAGGGGGGGGTGTCGCAGTCAAATGGACAATGCAGACTTTTATTCTGATATTTACTGCTCTCCTTTATGTCATAATTCTGATAATGTTATAACTTCTGCCATTTCATTTTCAACACCAAAGGAAGAGGCTGAGCAGCTTTATCGTGGGTGTGGCCGCCATGACCTTGTGAATCGCATGTACCAAGATGGGGGCATTTGGTCAAAGGCTTTGGAGACAGCCAACGAGAATGACAGGATTCACTTGAGATCGACGCATTATAATTATGCCAAGCACTTAGAGAGTAAAGGTACAGTGTGCCTGTGAATTTGGTAGTAAATCAAATATTTCAAAATTATTTTAGAGTGTAAAGTATGTTGTAAAAAATTGGTGGAAAAGTGTAAAGCTTGTTCATCATAATGATTTAATTTTGCATTAGTGTGTGAGTATGAGTATACTTATCATAGGTCTTTCTGATTATATACTTTAGGAGACTTCAGTGGTGCCATCAGTCACTATGAGAAATCTGATACTCATAGGTTTGAAGTACCAAGGATGCTATTTGATGAACTCCCAACACTTGAGGATTATATCATGCATACTAAAGACAAGTAAGCATTATTTTCATCTTCATAGAATTTTTAAGTTTTAATCATACCTGTAATTACTAGGAGCCATCATGTGAATTTTTATAATAAGGTTTTAATAACCATTAAGTATCTAGAGACTTTCTTAACATATAGAATATAAACTATGACACTGAACAGGGAACTATATTCCATTTATTTTATATTAAACTAAAATATTTTTTAAAGGTCCTTGAGAAGGTGGTGGGCTCAGTACCTAGAATCAACTGGGGAAATGGAGACAGCACTGCAGTTTTATGAAGCTGCGCGAGATCATCTGTCCTTAGTCCGTGTGTATTGTTATTGTAATAATCTACAGAAGGCAGCAGAAATTGCTAATGAGACAGGAGACAGGTATGGACTTATTATATTGTGTTTTATTTACTGAACCACATCTGTAGAAATAAGCGCATGAATAATAGTTAAGAAGAACTTTAGTGTATGTGTTTATCAATATTGCTATTAATATTGCTATTGCTATTATTATTATTATTATTATTATTATTATTATTATTATTATTATTATTATTATTATTATTATTATTATTATTATTATTATTATTATTATTATTGTTTTATTGTTGTTATTGTTACTGTTGTTGTTGTTATTGTTATTGTTGTTATTATTATTGTTATTATTATTATTGTTATTGTTTTTGTTATTATTATTATTATTATTATTATTATTATTATTAATACTATTACCATTACCATTATTATTATTATTGTTGTTGTTGTTGTTATTATTATTATTATTATTATTATTATTATTATTATTATTATTATTATTATTATTATTATTATTATTATTATTATTATTATTATTATTATTATTGTTATTGTTATTGTTATTGTTATTGTTATTATTATTGTTATTGTTATTGTTATTGTTATTGTTATTGTTATTGTTATTGTTATTATTATTATTATTATTATTATTATTATTATTATTATTATTATTATTATTATTATTATTATTATTATTATTATTATTGTTATTGTTATTATTGTTGTTATTGTTGTTGCTGTTGTTGTTATTGTTATTATTATTATTTTGTTATTGTTGTTGTTATTATTATTATTATTATTATTGTTGTTGTTGTTGTTATTATTATTATTATTTTTTTGTTGTTGTTGTTGTTGTTGCTGTTGTTATTATTATTATTAATATTGTTATTGTTATTGTTATTATTATTATTATTATTATTATTATTATTATTATTATTATTATTATTGTTATTATTATTATTATTATTATTATTATTATTATTATTATCATCCACTTTCTTTTTTTACAGGGCTGCATGCTATCACCTTGCTCGCCAGTATGAGAACGTCAATATGGTGAAAGAGGCCATTCACTTCTTTACTCGAGCTCAGGCTTATGGCAATGCCATCAGAATCTGCAAGGAGAATGGTTATGAAGGTAACATTTTTAGAAATATTGGATTAGTATAAAAGTTCACTTGTACAGTTGAACCTTGTTTCATTTGTTTATCAATTTTATTGTTGATGTAATTTTCCTTGTTTCCAGATCAACTCATGAATCTAGCTCTTGTGGCTGGACCTCAGGAACAAATTGATGCTGCCAGATTTTTCTCCTCTTCGGAACGTCGACAACTCTCAAAGGCTGTCATGCTGTACCACAAAGCTGGTCTCTTGTCCAAAGCTGTTGATCTAGCCTTTAAGTCTGGGCAAGTTAGCGCAGTGGGCCAGATCGCATCTGAACTTGATGAAAATGCGGATCCTGCTCTTATTCAGAGATGTGCCCAGTACTTCATCTCCAATGGGCAGTATGATCGCGCAGTGTCACTCTTGATCACTGGTAGACAGGTTGGCATTTCTTTTTTTTTTTCCTTTTTCTTTTTCTTGAGAACTTCTCTATTATTAGAAATAAGGAGCTTCTATTATAGATAATTTTGTTTGGAAAATTCCTCTTATAAACATAAAACCAAAAAAAAAAGTAATTTACCATTACTTCTTTCTTGCAGTATTTTGATGCCCTTGATTTATGTGTGGAGCACAATGTATGGGTGACAGAAGAACTGGCTGAGAAGTTCACCCTGCCGAAAGATGAATCAGCTCGCAATCAGATCTTAGAAAAGGTAGCAGAGTGTGCTTATGCCCAAGAGAACTACAAATTGGCTACCAAGAAGTTCACACAGGCTGGTAACAAGGTAAGTAAGAATGAAGTGACATATCACGATATAGGTTAGCTGTTTATGGTTTAACGAAAATGTTAGAATGGAATATACAGACCTTAATTGTGCATTCATTTTTCACATATAGTACTTTTTTCCCAGGTGTATAGGTAAAAACAAGGTGATAAATATTATATTGTATTTCTATTTTATTTTTTATAGGTTAAGGCAATGAAGTGTCTTCTGAAATCAGGTGATACAGAGCGCATTGTTTACTTTGCCAATGTGTGTCGGCAAAGGGATATCTACATCATGGCAGCAAATTACCTACAAAGTTTGGATTGGCGAAAGGAGCCTGAAATTATGAAGAACATCATTCAGTTTTACACAAGAGCTAAAGCTACTGGCCTGTTGGCAGGATTTTATGATGCTTGTGCTCAGGTTAGTAAATATGAGAGCAAAGTGCTCTTTTAAATTTTTTTACTTATTTTAGGTTTTATAGGTGAGTCAGAAAGAGAGGAATGTGTTGCCGTACTGTTGAATATTTTAGTGTCTCTTTTTCAGTTATTTGTGTTTTTTTTCAGTAGTTATGCATATCCACAGGGAAAATTAGTATTAATTGTAGACATCATTTTATTTGATTTAATGTAGTTTTAACAATTCTTATGTGAATCCTAGCTAAATTTACTGTCTATGACTGAATTATAGTAACTTAAATTTGGTGCATATACTGAGATCTTACATTACAACTTTTACAAAATCCCTCTACCCAATTAGGTTGAGATAGACGAGTATCAGAACTACGAGAAGGCAGCTGGAGCTCTCAGTGAAGCTTATAAGATCCTTACCAATTCTAATGACCACCAAAGCCAGGAAAGACTTCCATCAGTCCAGTACAAGTTGGAGAAGGTCAAGCAGTACATTGGTATCAGGAGGTGAGATATATATGTATATATATATATAGAGAGAGAGAGAGAGAGAAAGAGAGAGAGAAAGAGAGAGAGAAAGAGAGAGAGAAAGAGAGAGAGAAAGAGAGAGAGAAAGAGAGAGAGAAAGAGAGAGAGAAAGAGAGAGAGAAAGAGAGAGAGAAA